TTGATGACAACGCTATCGCCATACGTTAAACAATTATCACAAATCGATACAGACTCATATATAAAATAACTGGTGATACTCTCGATCAACATTATCTTCCCAATCCTTTAGAATGGCCTCCTTTATTTTTAGCAGAGAATCACTAGCCGTTTCTCATCTAACCACCACCACCGTTCCTGGTAGGATTTTGACAGTATAGGAAAATACTACTTTAATTTCCGTTTCACGTGATATACAAGTAACCACTCTATCTTCCTCTAACTTTCGGTTATCATTGGTTTTTCTCGATAACCTGTCTACGTGACTCACCCTGGCTGATGGCTTATGCAGTAAGTCGAATTCATATTCTAGCAACATAGAAGCCCACCTAATAACTCCATATATAGTGTGGATGGGTATTCCTTTTTTAGAGACTAATATGGCCAGTAACGGACTATGGTCAGTTTGTGAAGTAAGTTTTTGTTGTATAGGATCTTATGGAATATTCTGATCGCAAACACTAGGGTTAAACCCTCCTTTTAGATTTGGATATAATTTGTTTCACCTGCATTAAGCTTGTGTGAAGCGTGAAAGATAGCTTTTTGTGACCCATTATAAAATTTATGGGGAATCATTACTTCAATACCATAATCAGATGCATCAACCGCTAATATTAAATGAAGGTTTGAGTCATGGTGAGTGAGTAATAAATGTGATGCGGAGATTGGCTTCATATTTTCGTAGGACACTTGATACTTTTTATTCCAGTTCCATTTAGTGTCCTTAGTTAACAGTGCATTAAATGGGGCACACAGGGCATGCATATTTGGCACAGAGTAGCTATAATGATTACTCTTCCCAAAAATGACTGGAGAATTTTAATATTAAACGAAGCTGGTATATTCACGATTGTACGTGCCTTTTCATGTTCCGGTCTACGCCCGTGAGAACCGATAATCGTTTCCAAGTGTAAAATATTCCACAAACTAACACTCTTCTACTATCATATTGTTACGTCCAAGTTTTGCTCGTTCCAGTTATTGAAGTACGGACTATCGATCTACTTGCAAATTACGAACCCAAATTAACAACAGAACCAAGCTTTAATTTAGATACCAAATTTATTCGTAATTCACAAATAGTCAACCAAATGTCGTTCTAACAACAATAATTATAACAATTACAAAACAAACCTTCAATTTTGTAGGTTCCCGGAGCAAAACTCCCAAATACCGAACCAAAGACAAGGAGAGCATCAAAATACCAAACCAAAATGTCCGAAAAGACGATATAAACAAACAAGTTCAAAGTTAAGTAAAACAATTACATCTAAAAACACAGTAAATTATTAATGTACAACAAAAGGTTCTAACCCGCCAAATGTCTTCAGTTCTCCCGTAACACATATGAAAACCATACTCTCTAATACGAACAAAAACTTCTTATGAGTGATCAGTGTTCTTTTTCACTTCTATTGGCAACAATAATATCATCCATATACGTTATACTAAACTGTACATCGCCTAACATGGTGTCAATGACTTGCTGAAAAATTGCCGGAACACATTTTATACTAAAAGGTAGCTATAGTATTTGAATTATTTGAATTGTAGTATGAACTAGGAATCCCAGAATTAACGCAATTGAATCAAGAATTACAACACAAGCATAAACGAATGTATTGTATTTTGAATTCGAAATCGAGCATTCAACAAGTACAAAGGCATCATTAGTTCATTCAAACACCACAGTATCCTATTATATTGGGACAATACTCGATGTATATTTACTGTCAGCAAGAATCTACAGTCTATTCAGACTTCCACCTAGAGATATGCATTTGAAAAATCAATCTTCGAAAACACAGAGCACTCATTCAACTTGTTTATTAGGTCCTCTGGGATGGGTAAGGGGTCAAGATAGTTTTGTAGTGCTTTGTTTGACCCATTGGAATAGTCCCCACACACACGTAGATTATCGTCAGATTACCTTACAACCACTGGTAGTGGTGCACGTGCAGAATATTTTATGTGAGAAATAACTCCAAATCTCTTCAGTCTGTCAAGTTCTGTATCTAAGGCACCAGTAATTGAATAAGGTACCGATCTGCTTGGACGGATAAAAGTTTCACTCCCAGCTGAACAAATATACAAGCATTTAATTTCGCATATAGTTCCAACCTATCTTCAATGACATCTAAAAAACCTATCATGCAATTCTTTGATGCATAACTGGATAAGCTCACTTAGGAGTGACTAAGGTGCTGATGAATATTACAGCATATTACAAACAGCGTAAAAGAAATAAAACTCATTGAACAGTAGTGTCATTTATTTGTTTCTTCTCCGTCTTGTGTTTTAACTTTGTTTAAGTCTCTTTCTAACCGGACATTTTATTGCTCGATTTTGCTTGCCGAGGCCTTTTCTACTTGATCTTGGTTAAATATTTACCGTTTACTACTTTACCTTCTGTTGCGTGTTGCCGGATCATTTTCAGTTTGGTAGATTTTGAATAATGTCAAGGTCACAGCAAGGTTCACTTTATGACTACCAACCTTAGACTGTCTTGTTGGAAAGGTTTTAGTGGCCCGAGATCTGACTCCAGTTCGATCGTTTGATTATGGCTATCGAATGATTGCCATCGAAATATACATGTCACCAATCTTCGTATATAATCATCAACTTGAATCGCGTTATTGAATAACGGAATTAAATAAGTCAAATAGGGGAATGGATATTCGAATACATTTATTTTGTACAATTGTTGATCAGAGCAGACAATCAGAGAAACAGAACGGAGGCAGCGAAGAGAAGACGAAATGACGCATAAGGGAGAAGGCATGTGGGCTAATTCTATGTAATCAAGCGTTAATTGATAGTTATAGTCACAAAAATAAGTTATAGAAATGTGATGAGCAAGATTAGAAATGCACACACGTACGCTTACATAAAAAATGGTTAAGATTGATGAGCGAATGATCAACAAGGTCAAAATGTGACTCAAGAAGAATGAATTGACCTGTGTGGATGATAGAATAAGCTACGTGTGTTTTCATAGCACTACGAGGTTCCTGGAATCCTTGTAGACAGATATTTGAAGGTGAGATAATAAGTTGTGTATGACCTTTGAGCAAAGTAAAGTGACCTTTGAGATGCTGGTCTACTACACAGGATTAAAAGAGGGTTATAAAGCAGTGTGGGGAATGACAAGGTTAAGAATTAGATTTAGGGTTTTTATCACGAACTTACGCCAGCTATAATGACGAGATAGTATTGAGCTAATTGAGTGTGTAGTGACATAGTTTTATCGACAGAACGCGATTGGTGTAATGGAAACAATTATTGTTATAACCAATTGTACTAGGGATTGTTTTACCGTGCTTGTTTGTTTAACTGTACCAAAATAAATTCATTCTTCCGTTGATTGTGGCCCTGCGCGTACTCGGTTACACTCAGTAACCACACTTGTAACCTGTCACGACCTCGGTATTCTTTCGATACCACGAGATCGCCATCAAATACATCTCGGCTACAGCCGTCAAGTGCCTTTTGATATTTGGCGTACGGGGGATCTTATCGGTTAACTGCTACATAGTTTTTCTGCATTCTTGATCATAGTCAACCGTGACTGCATGCCACAGTACAAGTGCATGAATTTAGCGGTTAAATCCGAGACCTGTTATCTTAAATCTAACTGGTTTGTCCATAAATTATAGTCTCGCTATTTTCGATCACATCTTATTAGGAATATTTTCATTGATCCTCAAGTATTGAGTTCCTTTTTACTTACTGTTCGCTTTGTTGTGTTGGCGAGCTTGTTTTTAATAGAAAATTCATTGACTATATTGCACAAGCTGTCCCGTTTTGGGCATTTTTTACTTTCTATATAATTTGTTCTCTTCCTCAAACTAGACCCGTTTAAATCGAACACAGAGTTTGTATTTTAATATAATTTGATATGAGTCACTCAAAAATGCATCGTATGTTATATAGAAGAACGTGGTCTGGTTTAATAGAACAACCTTTTGTTTGTTAGTTCAAACCGAATATAGGAATTTCTGTCGTTACACTGCTATTAGTGTTTCTGAAGAAGTGGTTGTAAAACTAATCGACTGAGGAACCATGAGCTGTTGGGGTTTTCCAGGATTTTTCTGTTTACTACAGCGAGCGGAGTATAGCATGGTTCCGTTTCGGGGGTCCGATCTACCTTAATGTTTATTATTGATTAGCGTGATTCACAGGTACTCAAAGCATGATACATGCGAATTATCCTGAGATTTGTAGAGAAACACGGAGTTATTCAGACATTTGGAATCTTTGAGAGAAACGGTTTAAGATAAATGCTTGGATCATTAGTAAAGTCATCTAGTTGAAAATTGATACATTCATAAGGTTGGTGATAAGCATTTGTGACACATCCAATTCATTGTTCCTGTACATGAGTTTTGTGGAATAAATAATGACCATGACCTTAAACTCGTGGAACTCCCTATCAACAGAAACAATGATGACGCTCTTAGTCAAATTTCTCAAAAGATAGGTCAACCTTTACCATATTTCTGTAGGTACCAATGGATATTATTTTGTTACTCTTCGTTTATTATTCTCATTATTGACCGATGTTCTAACCATTTTAGGCACACGGCATGAAGACTCAATCAAAAGTGTTAACATACAAGTGGTAATAGTAGCATATCAAAGTAATTCCAAATGGTTCGCACAGAAAACAGCAATCTATATCAACTGTTGTAAAATAATAACTATTAATAGACAGGGAATGCTACTTGAGCAAAATGTTTTTGTTGAGAAATATCATAATCTTATTTTCCTCATCTAGGGTCTAAGTTTTTTCGACTGCCGAATATCAACGGCGTGAAATGAAATATATCTTAACGTTTGGGTATAAGGAGAGCCAGAAATCTCATGAAGCATAAGGTAATCTGTAACATGTGCAATGTAGTTACATTGCATGGTATATTTAAGCATGTATACAACGAAAATAGGTATTACATGTCTTTTTCAATGCAACATATGAATTGCATTAAGATTATGTGTACAATGTCACATGACAATGCAAGATTTTATAAATTCGTGCTTAAAAACTTGAAAGAATAAACAGCTACAAATGGCCATAAAACCGCTTTATCGCTACATGAATACAAGTCAAAAAGGAAAAAGCAGTTTATCATTTCTGTCTACCAAATTTTGAGGTCTGAATAATATTGAAAACTTTAAGAAATATTGGTCACAGCTTTGAAAGTTAGGAAGCACAAGGTCACTTGAGGGACAATTCGAAGTGTCGGTTTAAAGGTACAATTTTATGCTCGATTTTGGGTTGCTGTTTTGTTTAAAATACACAGTTTCTGTTATCTTTGATCTAATATTGGAAAGAAATAATTATTACGCTCGTAAGAATCACTCAGGTGAACTTGACAAATAACAGTACTGTTCTCTGTCTACAATAAATATTCGAAATTAACTAGCATAAACGTATTTTGTAAAGTCTCATAATGTATATAGGCGAGGAATCTTGACTTTCAGCTTATCAGTGGTACTTTTTTTAGCTGACTTAAAATACGTGTTAATCTTGTCAAATTACCAATATGATTCTCTAAAATTTAAGACCAACTTGTCTATCATTCGCCTGTAAGCTCACTGGTTCCAGAGCAGTAAGTTAAGGTTCAGGGAAGAAGTACTGCTGACTTCATATTTGCGTGGCAAGATTAAGGTGTTTTTCTAAGAACCAACATCCGCAGCGATGCTACTTTCTCAAAATGAAAGAAGGGGGTCAGAAAGGGTGATATGAACAATATCGCATCTCACCTTACTACATGGATTTCTGTCTTCAACAGAAAAATCTTTTGCATTTGCCACGGTTGAAGAAAGGAACCTGATTCTTGGTAACTCATGTAAACTGATTGGATCCGGAATATACGTCCGTGAGGATCTCAGCCTAGCTGGTCGTAATAAGAGACAAGCTGCAGAAGTGGAAATAAATTAGCAATACCGAAACGGCGAAAGAAACCTCGTTATTAAGGGTTTTCAAATTGTAAAAGTTCGGAGCAAAACGATCCTCAAACCATTCTGGGTGGTAAGGAAAAATTCTCCACAGACTTAAAGGTACGCTGCACAAATGCTCGCAGCCTACTAAATAAAGTGGCGGAGCTCAAGCCAATGGTGGATAAAGAAAAACCGGATGTTATCGCTGTCTCAGAAACTTGGTTAACGTCAGAAGTACTTGATAATGAAATTCAGTTGACTGGTTTTTTAACCAGTATGGCTGATAGATAGGGGAGACAGGGTTATCATGTACACGAAAAGTACCCTAACCATAAGAGTAGCTGAGACAGTGGCACATGTTTCAGGTACATGTAAACTTGTGCGATGTAAGCTGAAATGTAGACGGCAAGATATTGAATTAGTTGTAGTATATCGCAGTCCAGAATGTGTAGCAGATGATTTTCTCCTAAGTAAACTTAAGTCCTGGTGTGACAAGGGTAAAAGCCTTGTAGTATGCGACTTTGATGCTATTGAATCAATCCTCGTGATTGAATCTTGGTTTTTGAAATGATCCCCGAAAATTGAACCTTACAGGTAGGCTTTGGTTGATTGGATTATGTATGACCTACGAACTAATACCTTTTGATCGCCTATGACAGTTGGCCATATTTATTTTGTATTCAAATTATGTATATAAGCAAGTTATTTTTGTGATGAAAGTGTCTTATTTTCTGGCTCAGTAGTATCGTCTTCGATTTCTAATCATATGGGGCTTGAGTTAATAATACGGTCTTGTAAACAGCCACCACTCAGTCGCATCATATCACTATGTTTATCTATTAATTAACCTTTGATTTATTGATTTTAACAATCCAAAATTTAGTCTCATCAAATCATCAAAGGCGTCCTTCATGACAGTTACAATTTCTGATAAAGCATTATCCAGGAGTGTTTGCATTATAAGACATTGAGAGGTTATCCAGAACAGTATTATTTCATAGTCATATCAAGTTTATAGTCTCTTTAACAACGGGAATTTTCGGGAAAAATTAGTTACCAAACATCTTACATTTAACGGATGAAAGACTTTCAATTTTTATATTAATCAACATCTTTGCGATAAATGTACTTAAAGAAAACGAGAGTCAGTTTTTAATATTAGAACATTTATATTCTAGTGGTTGTCCTTTTCGTTACTCATTTTCTAGGTTTTTTTAACTCCAGTTTGAAAACTACTCCACGTTACAACTCAAATGTTCTTTACAGCCTAATTGTTTTGTATAAGCATATCATCTGTGGACCTTGTATTATACTCCCGGATGAATCGGGTTGTAAACTAGTAACCAGTAGTTTTTGAAGATTATTCATTCGGCTCTTCAATGAATTATATTATAAAAAAGTACAATGTCTGAGGACGATCAAAATTCTAAGGAGATTGTAACATCATATGATGAAATATTGGAGATCACAGGATTGTTAGCTATGCGTGATAATTCAATGTCATGTGTCACTGAAAAGAAAGAAACTCCTAGTTCAACGGATAATGTCAATAATGGTGATGTTAGTAATGATGATATTGTATTACCAATACAAAGTTGTACACAATTACCACTTAGTCCTAGTCTGGTATCCTTAATTGAAGATGGTGGTCCTAATTGTCGAACAATTTCAATTGCTAAAACCAAAAATAATAACGTCGGCTTTACATTTACAGAAATAAAACAGGTATTAAATTATATATATATATATATATATATATATATATATATATATATATATATATATAGAGAGAGAGAGAGAGAGAGAGAGAGAGAGAGAGCATAGAACTGGAGCAATAAAAATTCTTTTGATTCGTTTGCCGCTATCCAAGTGTTGAGTTGTTTTTATAATTTACGGATTGGGATGGATTTTATTTAAATTAGTTAAATTTATCAGGGACTCTGTAAATGTAAAATATTTGCAGCTAGGAAATTTTAATTAGTACACTTGGTAATAATATTGATTAAACATTTAATAGAGTCTAGTTCCAGATGTATGCACCTTTAAGGATTTTTTAGGGGAGAGATATATGTTAATGCAATGAATAACTGATCCTAGTGATTTTATTTCACTGACAGATTAGAGTAGGTTATTCCGACATCTTGAAAACTTACTAGTAAAGTAATTAATATAAAGAGATGTCGGATAAAAACGTTTCACTAGTAAAAAAATAGCTACGACTCCTGTGACTAGGTGTTTTTGAAATATTTTATCTCATTAGTGGATGTAAAAGAGTTTATCAAGTTTTTTGGAGAAAAAGCCTAAATATAGTTTAAACTTTTGCTTCTATAAAATGTTGAGTTCAAGCCTATTACATTTGGGATTGTAGCTTAGATTACAGTCATTCTGAAGGATGCAAAGTGTATTATCATAATCAGATATGCTATTGTCATTCGTTTCTCATTGGTTTTTTTTCTGTTTCAATAAATTGCACACGTTATTTATTTTGGATTTGTTTTTCTTTTGTTTAAAGGGATTATTTGTTTCTCATGTAGACGAAAGATCTTCTGCAAAGTTGAATAAAGTACGTTTTGGTGATAAGATTCAATGCATAAATGATACAGAAGTTACATCTTATACTCAAGCTAAACAACTTATTGAAGAAACACATCCAACTGTAAATTTTTCTTTTATCGACTGGTAAGATTATGTTTGTTTTCTCTTATTTAAATAGTTTTTAAAAGTACTTAATAGTTATTTGGACCGCTTAAAGAGTGAAAATTGAATTTGCATAGTTTTCTAATTGTTACCTAACAAATAAAAAAAAAACGAATTGAATTGAAAAGACATAGGGGAGACATATAACGTCCCAAAGTTACCTACCCTATGAACATAAGTATTAATAATGTTTGATTTATATTAAGTGGAAAAATGTGCGTTTCAGTTTGTGTAACGTATTTCAGAAATGCAGTTTGATATTTTATTGTTCTTAGGCCAAATTAACTTCTTTTGTCAATGGGCACAATAATTACTTCGTCATTTCACGATACGTTGATGTGAAATATCGGAGTGCTTGAATCGTCTTACTTACTCCCAAGATGAAAAAGTTTATTTCAGTTGTGGTTTAAATTAGTGTCCAGTTTAATACTAATAACTTGGACGACATGTCTGAGAATCGATCACAAAGGCGTTGGTATATACACTCTTTATCTTCCCTTAAACCGTGAGATTAAATTTACTTTATACCTTTCTTTCTATGAAGTAGTTCTTTTTGCCTGTATCATATCCTTATATACAGTCTTATATATATATTGCTACGACTGAATTAACTGGTTCTATGAATTTGGTGTTCATTTTATTATACTAATGATGTATGGAAACTTGAACCGATGCATATATTTGCCTGGTCCTATGTTGTAGATGACTGACTGACTAACATAATACTAATAGCTTATTTGGTTAGATACGTTATGATAAGTCTTGCGGATTGAACGCCATATTCGTTTCCTAAGCTATTCTGTAACCCCCAAGCTAGAACTATACAGCGACCTGAACAACGAGAGAGAAGATGCAAAGTATGCGAGAAGTACTTTACTCCAAGTTTCATTTTAACACAGAAAATATAGGGTTTTTATAATATTTTAAAATGTTTTTGGGTTGCTCGAAGATTCTGGAATGCTACTAAACATACTAGCAGTGTAACAATCAGCCTGTCAGAACCTCTGCATGTGACTTTTCGCTTCCTTGATATTTTTGGCTAAAACGTTAAGTGAACGCTGCTTGAATGAAACGCTTCTTAGTGTTTCCTGATCCTTGCTTGTCTTTTGCAAGAAATTTTCTGGATCACTCCAACACGTTAAGCGTTACATTTATATTAGTGGATTATTGATTAACAAAGTTTCAACTCAAGTATTAACAACTGTATTTTAAGACTTATTACGCACAAAAGGTGTTTGGTACAAAGAGGGAGCCAATAAATAAAATGGAATAAATCTTAAAAACTACGGTAAAAAGTATTAACTGAAGCAGTCCAAGTTCACTTAAATGGTCTACCATGCTGTTCACAAGGGATATGATAAAAAAATCATTTCAGCATCATCATTGGTTTTTATTTCGACCTATAGGTGATAACATTTTACGTAATCAAATAAATAATGTAAATGGTTTAAAACATAAATCCCTTTAGTCTATTGTTGTAAACCAAAAGATTGCTAGCTCCATACAAATACATTACGTTCAACAGTGCGTCTCAATTTATTTCCATCTTATCTAAGTATCAAAAAATAATTCTCTTTATGGGGAGCCTCTGAGAGGACATTTGTAAAATGTGGCTCAACCACCAGATTGGATGTTTCCAAGATAGTAACATTCATCCAATGATTAATATTGATATGTGGCTCTCAGGTTTGCATTACATTAATATTGCTCTTGTTCTGGCATTTACACAGCCACAAGTGTACACAAAGTTTTTAAATATTTTGAGCAATACACTATAAAGTGTGAGTGAAGCCATAGATTCATATCAGTCCTGTAGAAGTGCTTTACATTTCATTCGTGCTAAACACATACTATACTTACGGTTGCTGATCAACAATTGGTGGAATGAATAGTCTGTACCTCATTTCATATTGAAATGATGTTTTCATACTCAAGGTCAAAACACCTTTCAACTAGTGATAAACTTACATCCTTAGAATGTGATTGATAGCGTAATTGTAGTTAATTGAGTGGATTTAACGACAGTACTTCCAATTTCGAACAATTCAGGAATATGGTTATGTGGCTTTGACCTACCTGAAATGTTTTTGACAAGGTCTTAAAAATTGTAGTAAACATCGCAAATATCTACTAATAGTCAACAATACTAAAACATAACTCCATCCAACGAATTAAATATAGCTCCAATGTGTAGAAATATAATAATTATTGGTGACCTGTAATACACGTAGTGGTGTCGAAGCATATGAAGACAGGTAAGGACGTAATTGGCGCATTTATGAGCTAAATAAAACCTGACCTGCTCCTAAAGACTCAACATTACACTTGTTTCTCATTATGTACGTATTATGATAGAAGGCATTATTTTGGAATCAGTCGATGACACAATGTACGCCACATACGCTAAGTAGACAGAGTTGGTTGAAGAATCCTGGTAGGCGGCCTGTATGTATATAACACCAATCCGTAAGTTAGTCCTGGATGTTACCATTCCTTTATTCTTCGTTTGTATATAACAGTTATCTCATACATCTATTGAATATTAGATCATGAAGTTATATTTATAGTAAACAAACAAACAATATAGCGAATCGACTGTACAAGTTTATCCATATTGTTTTCATGTTTGTTTGTTTATTTAGCCCTTATAGAGAAGTTAAAACAATTTATAAAATTCATGGAAAATGTGGTCTTTTCATCAATGATGGTATGATTTTAGATCGTACAAAATATTTCAGTGCAAAAAGTGATAAAATTCCATTGAATTATTATATTACTGAAATTGATGGTCATAGTACTGTTCGTCTATTAGATGAAAAAATAGTTTTATTAGTTGAACGTGCTAATTCACCATTCTCTCTTCATATTGTACCTCAATGGTTTTATGAATATCTTGTTTTTGGGTAAGTTTTTATATCTCTTATTTTTTCCTTATATCCATTAAGTTGTTTAACTGTCTTCATTCTCTTTTCTGAAACTGGTGTAAAAAAAGTGTAGAGTCTTCTGACCACCTTATGTAATAATATAAGCATGTTTAAGGTGCGGTTTTTCCCACCTAAATGCAAAACGTTGTCTTAGTACTGGTTTGCGTCAACACCTAAGCTAACGATAAGGAGGAAAGTTGTTCAGTGTGTTGATCACTTTTTTTTTCTGGCTTTATTCAATATTATATTTTTGGTACAATATAGAATTTTCACAGATTGGAATCATGAGTCAGTTGAAGCTAGACCACCATGGAAAACCTGGAAGCACTGGACGGCCGTTTCGTCCTAGTATGGGACTCCTCAGCAGTGCGCATCCACGATCCCACACCCCGCGGGACTCGAACCCACAGCCCACTGGCTTCGCGCGCGAGCACTTAACCACTGAGCCGGCATCCAACGTTGTTAATGTCTAACTTCAACCAATCCACGAAGTTGCGCCACCATATACCATCGTCTTCAGTGAGCTAATATCTCACAACAGACCTGGTTATACTCCACTGGTAACGGCTTCCCACTAGAACTCCAGGAGTATCTCTTGAAGTCAGTCACTAGTGAGCAGATGATTATTATCAGAAGGGGTTTGTGGAGATTTTAGAAATTTCACAGGTTGAAATCATGAGTCAGTTGAAGCTAGACCACCATGGAAAACCTGGAAGCACTGAACAGCCGTTTCGTCCTAGTATGGGACTCGTCAGCAATGCGCATCCACGATCCCACACCCCGCGGGATTCGAACTCAGGACCTACTGGCCGTTCAGTGCTTCCAGGTTTTCCGTGGTGGTCTAGCTTCAACTGGCTCATGATTTCAATCTGTGAAATTTCTAAAATCTCCACAAACCCCTTCTGACAATATAGAATTTTCAGCACGAAGTATTTTAACAGTTTTCCTTAACAAACATCATTCTTATCAAAATTCCACATATTCTTTTCTTATTTCATATCATAGATTAGATCCATCAGGAAATGAACTCAAAAAAGGTAAACGAACACTTTTTAGCTGTTTCCATAAATCATGAATACATAACTAGGGATAAATGAATGTTTATTATTTCTTTTTGTCTATATTATGTATACTTAATCATATTTCTTTCTGTTTATTTATCATTAACCAGAATATTTACTGTTATTATTATTATTGAGATGTTATTGTAAATCATGAAGATGAACTAGAAAACAAGGGAAACAATTCTAGACTATTCTACCCTGTTTTCTTTAATTCTCCTCCCCCCTCTGTGTACTTCACTCATCTATTTGCCTTTCCACAATCTCCATAAAGCGCCATTTTGTTTTTGTAAAAACTCAAATGTATTTTGTTTTATGTTAGTTGTTTGTTTTGTTTTCCGGTTCTTTAGTATTTATTTTCATCATATAATATTTTTGTTGTTAATTATTTGTTCATATCAGTGACCTTATTTTCTTGGAAAATTGCCTTTGTTACTACCATTATTATTATTATTATTGCTTGATATTTTATCATTGTTAATTTGTTTATTGTCCATGAGAATTTCTCATTTGGTTTTTATTATCACAGTTAGTATTTATCAATTTTTTTCCTTTTTCTTTTCTCTCTCTAAAAAGAGTAATTCAAAGGAATGTTTATCATTATTATTATTATTATTATTATTATTATTATTATTATTATTATTAATTATTAATAATAATAATCTGATAGAATTCACTTGGTATTTGTCATTAGCATTATCCGATCGGGAAGCTAGGAATTCTAGAATATTCTTCCTAAAGGTGATTGGATGGAACATCTTCGACTCCTGAGCCTCTTACAGCTTCCTCGAGTTCGCCGGTGATCCGTCGTCACAGTATTATTTTAACTAAATCTTCTTATTGATGTTTAAGACTGCAATTGATCAATTTCTTATTGGCATACATGCATACTGTGCGTATTGCCTCGATATCGTTAAGTGTATAATACGATGGCGTTTGAAGCGAATGGTACCGGGTTCGAGTCCAAGAGTGAACATCAACTTTAAGATGCAGGTGCATCCAGCTGACAAGTTCCAAATAGGACAAAACATGTGTCCTGGATTCCACTTGTAGCCACTATCCATCTTTTCTTATAATCTGATAGATTATTTTCATAATGACGCCTTGTTTTAACTAATTTAGCCCAATAGAGCTCTGTAATTGTAAACACTTTATAATTGATATGATCAATAGGTGATACGATTACTGTTACCGGATCGTTTGAATCAGAATTAATGTAACAGAATTCAGACACGGTTTTTTTCTGGTCAACATCGTTATTATTACCATGAATTTAATTCAACAACCAACTTGTGTTAAATAATAGATAAACCAACTCATTGATTTGTTGTTTGGTTCAACTTCCTTTTAACACAGAAAAATAACTTTAAATACCGTTTAAAGTAACATACAGATCCAATAGATTCAAATCATTGATAATGTTACATTATGAAATGATGGCAAAAATTAACCGGTATACTTAGTGTAGAATCTAGTGTATTTGTATTTGTTTCAAAGGTTCTATCAAGTGAATAAAAGCTATATGAGATGAGAGCTAACATATACATATACTTTAATATTCGTATTTCCATACTTACAGAACGTTCATCATGAAGTATATAAGATATTTTTCTGTCGGTCTTTGAAAAAGTGTTTAATATCGTTGTAAAAACAATATATGCTGGTTATATTATAGCAGTAAACTATTCTTAGAGTGTTAACAATTCTCTTATACATTTAGATCAGGTATCATTTGTTTTAATCAAATGTTAATTTTGTTAAAAAAAGACACGGTTATCTCTTAGTTGATGGATTTACTTTAAAACATCAAGAATCTTTGTATGAAAGATTTCGTCTACTATATTAAAGAACATAATTTCATTTCAAATACTTAGAGAATGTTTAACAATATGTAATAAGATGATCACCTAGTATATTCCAGGACTAATAATATAATTGGCTATGAATGAATAAATTGTTCGTGTCTTAATCTTCATAGTTTACATTACCAGCTGGTCTTAATGAAGCGACTACCGAAAACCCGGAAGCAATAAACATCTGTTTCATCCTAGTATGGGACACCTAAGTAATACGTATCAACGACTCTACTGAGTATCGAACCTATGGCCTTCGATGTTGCAGAGAGCACCTCACCATCAAGTCAGCATTCAATTGTGTACTTGTAAGAGTTTAATCGATTCACTGTATTGTGCGACCATTTTCCAATGCTTGTGGCGAATAACTGTCTCTTACACACCATGGTTAGACTCCACTTGTCATGACTTTTCAGTAGAACTCGTTGAATTACCTGCTTAAGTTAATGTTTAGTAAGCACAAACTCTCTATACTCATTAATGTGTCAAGCAAAGTTGGGTATTGGTTAGCAGTGGTATCTAGACACGCGTTTTGTCCTACTTGGGTTCGTCAGATGGGTATGTTTGCACATCAGTGTTGATGCCCACATTAGGACTCAAACCTAGTACTTTTCGCTTCAAAGGCTCAGAACTAGTTACTATCCGACTCTGCCTATAATGCTTATGGGGTATAGTAGCAATGTCGAATCATTTCGCACAGAATCGGCATGTACTAATAGAGGCAAAACTTTATATCTACCAATATAAGGTACTAACAAGTAGTGTATGTGGTAAGAAGACAAATCTATGATCACGTGACGAGTTATATCTTACAGATAAGCCAGTTGATTTATTAATTTTGTAAGTTATATAAACACATTAAATTACTGATTGACTAATAGTTCAATGTACTCGAATTTACTTACAAATCGAGCATTTAAAATGTCAAATATTTCATGATCGTTTTCAATATCGTATTAATTAGTGATCGGTGAATAAATCAGTCCATTTATACAGTTTTGTTTTCTTCCTTATGTCAACATACTAGTCATATTCTGTTGCGATTAGTGTTAGTAAGCAATTATTTTGGGGTCACAGGAAACAGTCGTACTAGTAATCAGTATTTATGTCAAGACACAACAGGATGATAAATAGGATTAAGGTATCGATGATAATGATAATATTAATTTTCGCTTTATTTAGTACCATATATTCGATTGGAATAAAGATTTCTCAACAAGAAATAAGTAGTATCTCATCGATTTTCGTAGATTTCTAAATTAACAAACTATTTAGTTACGTTTTCTTGATATCACGGACTGATCTATGTTAAACAATATTCGAAAGCCTGGAAGCACTGGACAGCTGTTTTGTCTCAGTGTAGGCACTCCCCAGCAGTGACCATCCACGACTCTGCAGGTAGGAATCTAACTAATGATCGGTCATTATATATATTTTTTTCAGTATTAGCTGAATGTCATTTATTTTCATTCCTATTGATGGTAATTTTCCATAATAATTTTGATGAATAATGCTTTTCATTTCAAGTCTTCGATTGATAGGTCACAATGTAAGATTCATTAAATGATCTAAATGGTAAGACGAATAAGAACAGTAAAGCTAATTCATATATATCCTTAGTTCAATATTGTCTGGTTAGAGTCCAGGATAGGGTTGGGTGGAGAGTGCTGGTGGGTGGCCTATGCCTACCTTCACAATGAGTAACAGGCGTAAGTAAGTAGTGAGAACTTTGAATTTGTAGGATTAGTTCTGAACTACTTATAAGGTTGTATAGCAGTATGAAGTGTATCGCTAAATGTTTTCTAGTGAACTATGCACTAGAACGTTTGTATTATTAGGCATATTTTAGTATTTGAAATAAAATCGTATTTTTATTGCCTTCTGTATAATCAGCGACTAAACTTATTCAGAATCGTTTGTTCATATCTTATGAGCAAAGTTGAACTGTGACCAGCAGTGGAATTGAGGATGTGCGTATTGTTCTTTTTGGGACTTGTCAGCCTGATGTATTTGCGCAGGATACTGTTAGGTCCCGATAAGCATAATGAATGGTAAATTTTGGGATCCATTTATGGACCAATACTATACTTATATTTTTATCGTATAATTGTTAAATAACTAAACTATACATATTCATGACCCGCTTATTATGAGCTTTATTTTGACATATAAACTGTTATTATATGATCTACCATTTTGAATTATGGACTGTCTATCAATCACTACCTCCCACATTCACAGCCACATTTGGCCAAATCTTGTACAAATGTTATTTCCTATTTTATGGTACGATGTGGTCTATCTGTTTGGTATATAAACCCAGTATGCTTGAAATAAACGATTCATATTGCAGAGGTTGAGATTGGTGTTCTGGACTTAACTGGCTGGGCTAGGCAGGAAGCAGGTCTAATAAGGCGTTATAACTTGTGACTGCCGATTAGCGGGCAGTGACTTATCGATCGGATCAATGACGTGTAAAACACGTGCGGGTAGCCTAGAGTCCTGATTGGTCCTGCTTTCCGCCTAGCCCAGTCAGTTAAGTCCAGAACACCAGTCTCAGCCTCTGAAATATGAATCATTATATTTCAAACATACTGAGTTTATATACGAATCAAACAGACCACAACGCTCCAATAAAATATAAAACAACATTTGTACAAGAATTAGCCAGATGTGGCTGTGAATGAGGGAGGTAGTAATTAATATACTGGGTATAACTCAAGAATGGTAAAACGTATAATAATAGTTTATGGGTCAAAACAAAGCTTATAATAAGAGGAATATGAATAAGCATAGTTTAGTCACTTAATAATTATACAATAAAAATATACGTTTAGTATTTGTCCATCAATAGATCCCGAAAGCTACCATTCATTATTCTTGTCGGGGCATAACATAAGGACTCTAGGCTGCTTGCAAGTGTTTTACACGTCATTGATCCGGTCAATAATTCACTACTCCCTAATTGGCGGTCACAAGTATAACAGATACTCATATACTAAAAGATAATCATCAGAAACAGATTCATCGATTAAGAGATAATCGTTTTTTGACAGATTTAACACCTAATTAATACAAATCATATTTGATCTATATATATATAACAGAAGTGATAGTATCGCAAGAATAATTTACTTACTTTTGATAAAATCAAAACAGCGATAGACATGTCCACTTGGTATTGTTTGACTTGTATTTTCCCATTGAGGTTTAAGACTGCGATTGATCAGTCTGTTATTGGCATACGTGAATACTGTGCGTATGCCTCGACATGCTTTACAGTTCAATAGTAAACTTCCTACAC